AAGGGTTCCTAACACCATCTTGGTCCGCCGCCATCATATTCTGCTCTCAGCATGTCTGATGATGACGTCAGACCAGCTGTTAAACTGAGAAAAATTAGTGAGGATAGAAATAAATAATTTTAGTAGCATAATTAAATGATTTATGAAGATCTGGATAAATATCTGCCGCTGCTACGGAGCCGCTATTTCATTTGCAAATCAAATATTTAGAGTTATTTACAAAGTAAACATTAGATCTGGAGCTGAATATTTAATTTGGAAAAAATATAAACTTAAAATAATAAATATTTTGTTTGTAAAATAAATATTTATCTTGCTGATATTTGGTTAACTGAATATCTAAATATTTAGTTTGGAACTTTGATTTTTATAAATGAATGAATGAGATCATGAAAAATAAGCTCCTTGTTTTTCTAAATAAGCATAAATGTGTCTTTAGTGAAGCTGCTGTTTGCTTCGCTTCCTCCCAGTTTCTCCAGTTTCAGACAAATCAGATGATTTCAAGCTAAAGAATGAAAGCAGGGGAGAACCAGAGGCCCCCATAGGCCCCCGGAGGCCCCCAGGAGCTTAACGCTCAAACCGAGCATCCAGCCTCTGAAAAACAAGGTGGCTGAGGGAAGGATGGCGTCACTGGCAGACGCTGACGTCATGGTGTTTGTTAATAACACGCAGCTCGATGCGGCTGATCAGCAGCGATCCAAGGGCCCGAACCCCGCAGCCACACAAAGGGGCCCAAAGCGGGGCCCCCACCGGCCTGCTGCTGTGCGGGCCGGTGGGGGCCGCAGTGGATGCTGCTGCTGCTGTCCCCCCCATCCCATCCCCCTCCACCCCCCCGCTCCATCCTTGCTGCGGCCCTGGGCTCCCTCGCATCCCTGGGATGATCATACCTTGCAGATGAGGATTCTCTAGGGCGTTAATCCATGGTCGCGCGCCGCTTCTGGCCTTTAATCCCGTTTCCTCCCGAAGCTGCGCCTCAGATCCGGCAGACGGAGAAGAATCGGAGCGGCGCTCCGGCGTCCAGTCGCTGAGCAGCAGATTCGCCTCCGGATCCCATAGAAGCACGAAGATCCCAAATCAGGAGGAGATCCTGCAGCGCGGGGCCCCCCCGGCCCGGATGGAGGGTCCTGGATGCGAGGCAGGAGCTGGTGTCGGTGGGTCAGCGGTCCATCACAGAGCGGCCGGTTGTGGGAGCGGAGCGGAGCAGCACTGCCTCCTTTAAGCAGAGGCAGGAGGGGAGGGCGACGGTAGAGGCGCTGTGCAGATCCGCTGCTTCTTATGCAACCTCAGCAGCAACCAGCAGAACAAACCTGCTTCACCTGGATGGAGAAACCTGACCTGCCAAACCTGCAGCAGCAAACATCATTTCCCTCCAAATAAATCCGCCATAAAACAGCCTCCATTT